GGGGGGGGGGGGGTGTTTAAATTATTTTCTAAATGAATTTCATAACTGTTACTCTCACCTACTGTCTTGTTATAACTGAAAATTTAGAACAGTTTATTAATGTATGCAAGTATATTTACCAATAAACAGTTTTTATGCAACGTGGTGTTTTTAAATGAATACTCAAATTTACAACTAGTAAAAGTACTTGGTTTGATGCACTGAAAGACTGAAACAACTAGTCAACGGTTATGGATACGCCTACCTGGCTGTATTACCCAATCAAATCAAAGTGTTTCGTGCCTAGCATCAGTGCTCATTGGTTGCTTTGCAACCGCTTTGTTCGTAATCCGTGCTTCTGATTGGTTGAAATGACGGTTGGGCGGAGAATTTTAAACGGGGGCGGGATGTGATTTAAAATTTCGTACAGCAGTCGGTTAGTGCTGTCGGTTGCACTGAACACAGCCGGTAATGTACATATTTAAGCATTACTGCTTTTAATGTATGTATCGAGATGATTTATATAGGTTTTATTGTTATGTTGCGGTATAGTTAGGTTGTTTATATAATTTTGCTAACTCGATACCTTAACTGACAAGTGTCTATTTGTTGCCGTTGAATTTATTTCAGATTTAGGTGACATAGATGCGTATTGTTTTAATCGTAACGCTTATATTTATGCACTGCCTGCGTTATTATGAGTAAGTTAGGCCTATAGCCGTTTACCTCCAGCCAAATCAGAACCGTTTACGTTACCACACGAGGACGAACTCGAAGCGAATTCGTTTCAGCCTCCAGTTTCCATTCACTCGGTTCAGTTTCCATCTGCCGGTTAGTTTAGCTAGGTTAGGTTGACATGAAGCTCACTAACGCAAAGTATACAACTCGTTCTTTGTTGTAAACCGTTTTTACTGCTGTGACAAAAAAACTATTGTTGTTCCTCCAGTCAAACCATCGCAGATCTGACGCGATGGCCTCTCAGAACACGGATCCCGCAGCAGCCTCGTCCACAGCAGCGCTGAAGGGCTGCGAGACGAGCGGAAGCGTGTCGAAAGGTTCTGTCACTAAAAGGTTTCTTCTTCTTCTTCTTCTTCTTGTTTTATGGCGGGTGGCATCCAACGTTAAGGTGCATTACCGCCACCTACTATACTGGAGTGTGGACCAGAGTGACTAACAGAACTTTATATAAAAAAAAAAAAGATAATTTTTATAAAAAAGAAAAACAAACAAACATGATTAATAATAAAATAACAATTATACTTTATATTCTATTTATTAACCCAGTCTCCCTCAAGATTTTCATGTTAAAGAAATCACCCTGGGGTTTATAAATGTGTTGTGATGTCCAACAGGGACATTTATGTTATTGGTATTCATAATGGAGAGCTAGAAAGTGCTGTAGTTTCAGTGGGGTGCTAGTAATTTGTTTCACTGCTGTTAATAGCATTTTTCATTCATTTTGTCATCTGAAATGACCAAGTCTGGCACAATTAAATTCACAATCATGTTCAGTGTCTCCCCTTTCCCTCCGTAGGCTTCAGCAAGAGTTGATGACACTAATGGTGAGGACTCTATATACAGAAGGTGTTATGTTTGGTCTCTTTAACTGTAGTTTGTTAACTTAGTGCTTTATGTCCAATGCAGATGTCAGGAGACAAGGGGATTTCAGCGTTTCCAGAGTCTGACAATCTCTTCAAATGGATTGGCACAATAGATGGTGCTCAAGGAACGGTAGGAACAACTGTTGTTTTCTTCCCCCTGATGTCATGGTATGGGATTCTTACATACAACATAGTGATCTAGATAATTAGAAGATTCTACTTAAATTCATCTTTTTTTTTTTTTTTTTAAGTCTTGGGGAGTAAGATTAATAATAATGAAAATTCGAGTTCAAGTTTTGTGACCATATGATTTTAATAACTTGGCAGTGCCTATTTATGCCCTGATATATAGAATACGTTATTTCAGATTTTAAATCTTGTAAGCTGAACGATTTTCTCCTAGTATATACAGCAGCATGTCTTTTTTTCTGATTTGGTTGTTTTTTTTTTTAAACTAATTTACTAGCCGTCTTGTTTGGATCAGTGTACTCATGAATTCTTGTTTTTAGAACCCAACAATGATAGTCCAATGAACTCTGCAGCTGCCGAACTGTGGGATGACCAGGAAGGTGAATGATCATGCCAGAGTGAAGCAGTTGTTTGAAACTGCAGTATTTTTAGAGAATTGTTCCTAGTTCAGTGTTTCGGTGAATTGTGCAATAAACTAACACATTTCAAATCTATTTTGTTGCAGCCTTCAAAACCCATTTGCACGCAACCTACAAGAATTGACCATGAACATAAGTGTCTGCCTTTTGTTTTATCTGTTTTTTCTTGTTCATAATGTAAATTTTTTTCTGTAATTGGTCTGTGTGTATATTATTTCTGTGTTGTATGAAACCTTCCTGAATAAAATGCTAACTGAATTGAGTTTGTGTCTCTAATTATTGGATTGAAGGAAGTGCTTTTGTTTTATTTTTATTTTTTTAATATTTACAATATAAAGGCCTATAGTACACAACTGATCAGTTAAGAATAATGTCTGAAAAATGTTCTGTATTGAATTGAGAGGCTTACAGAGTATAATTGTCAGCAATTTTAACCTGTTATTGAAAAGTAATTGCAGAATGCATGTCTCAATTTCAAAACTTTTATTTTATTTAATCTAGTTCCAGAACCTAGCTAAGCAGGCATAGTAGACAGCCTACTTTGCAGTTGTGGTGATTGCAACAGCCTGATGTATTATTTTGAGACACCACCTCCACTTCCATGATGTCCTCCAAGCTTTCATCCTCTTCTTGCCCACCATCTTGGGTAGACACGCCTTCTAACCAGGCTTGTTGTGTGGGTTCAACAGACCACAGTGGAACATTAACTCTTTGAAACATTTTTTCAAGCAGAACATCAATCTCCACTATGTGGTTCTTCAGGTCTGGGCTTGCAGTCTCCTCTACTGATAACCATGGCGTTTGCACCATGGCTGCCCGAGCTGCTACTTCCGAAGTTCCACCTGCATAACCTGTGTTGACGAGGGCTTGTCGATCTTTGCGCTGGGTCAGAGGGAATATCTCTTGCAAAACTTTGATCTTCTTTAGGTCCTGCTGGAAGTTTTCCAAGCTGGACAAAAAGATCACCCAAAGTCGTTCAACCTGTTCTTTGTCCTCTTGTCCTTGCTCCATTTCTATCAGCAGACTCGGCAGCCTCCGGTGAAGCCCTGAAACATGAGTCGAACAAGTCAACTATCAACACTTTGAATGTGGCATAATTGAATATGGCCAGCTTCTAGTTTTTGCAGTGCAGAAAAATACTGAAAGGGCAATGTAACATTTCTGCACCACTAGCATCACCAAACTGCTTCCTGCTTGTCTTTTGTTTCTACTTGTCCAGTCTTACCTGAGCATATTTTATGAGCTACTGTCCTGGTTTCCTCCAGCTCCTCTCTAAGGAAGCTCCCATCCATGTTGCTCCCCAAGGAGGAGGCCATTTGCTGGAAGCAGGCTGTCACTTTGCTCAGGGCGGCCTGTGCTCGCTCGCATTCATTCACCTGCCTCTTTCTGGTTTGGATTTCCACCACTGACTGCCGCCAGCGACTCATTACCACTCGTGTGGTGAACGACCTAAACTTTGCAGAAAATTTAAGAGTTATTGTTGATCTCAATATCAAAATTGGTCTGGCCCATTCTGAACTAAAATATTTGAAATGATGTATGGTGTATTTTTGGACTTCACTAGATGTATGAAGTTTTTAAATTCATAAATCTTGTAGTTTTTTTTTTTTTTCCCTCAATCTAATCCCAATTAAATGAACAGGCCATAACCATTTCTTTTGCTTAAAGAAATGATTTGCCGCCTTTATTAGCCTGGTTTCTTTTTAGTTCTCTTTTAAGAACCGTTGCACCACTTTGCAACATGTATTCTTATTTTACCTTATTTCTGATATCATTTTGAAGTGATAATGTTCAATTCAAATGCTATATGCATTTGCATTTGTATGCCAAACAGTTTATAAAAGAGAAAAGCCACTTACTGGTAACTGAGCCTCAAAGATATCCGTATGATTTCATAGTCTTCGGAAACTTGCAAGTTGTTTTGACATTCCTGCTTCTCAGCGTGATTACATCTGTTTGAGACACTTCTGCCAACCTCCTTGTATTTGTACGCTCACCTATGTTCTTTTTTCCAAAGCTTTTATAGAGGCCGGTCTTCAGGGACACTTGTTAAAATTAGGCCAAAACCTTGCAGTTCATGCTCCCAGAATACCTTGCGCTGTAGATCATTATGTCAAAGTTCTTTCTTTCTCAGAAACACATGCAGTGTTGGGAGGACAAGGTTTTCGATCAAGAGATCCATGCATGATGAATTTCTATGTGTGGTTATCTGTATATATGTGTGCTTGTGGGAGTGTGTGTGTGCTGTGCACAGTGGTTTATGTGAAGTTAATTGTCCACAGGGAGAGTGGTATGGTATTGTGGATGAACAGACGTGGATCCATTATTGACTCCCTTGTGGTTACTTGGACTTGTTTGAAAGCTGTGTGTCGCTTGATGCAACACGTATGCTCCCATGGGTCAAGTCTCCTGAGCAACACCAGTAATATTAACTCATTCAGTTAGCAAAACAGCAAAGCTGTAATAGGCACTGACATAATTCCTCAGTCATAATTATCTATGACTATGATATCTGCTTCACACTCAAAATTGTGATATAGGAGGGTATTCCTTTAATATTAAGTAAGGTTCATCAATTACTAGATTCATTTTAGGATGCCAATTGTAATGCAAATCCAGTGTATCTTTTTTTTTGTCATTGTCCTTGTTCAGAACGATACTCAAGCAGTGTTCAAGTATGGTAAGTGTACTTCATTGTTTAATCTAGTGTTCTGTTAGATATGGAAGAATCTTTATTGATTATCTAACAGGTGGCTTTGAAGTATTTGTTCATTCTCATAGCAATGACAAACACAAATTCACTTATTTTACATATACATTACAGCTTGGCCATTGATATGCCTTACAAAGGCAACTAGAAACTTCAACGAGAACATTGAGACAATGATTGAAATTATACCACAGATATTTATAAGAAAATGGAAAGCGAACAAATTCATCTAGCATTGTTGAACACATCCTGTGGTTTCCATATTAAAGTGTGGACAGACTTCATTCTCTGTTGCATGTTATTTATAGCACAGTTGTTGAAGACCCATTGGGTGAGCTAGACACGATACAAAACCACAGCGATCTGATGCAGTCCAAAATCAATGCCTCCAGCTTGCATTGGTAATCAAGCTTTAACTGCTAAAGTCAAGTATAGTTGGCCCTGCATACAATGTGAGGTGAGTTACAATGAGTAGATGCTGGTATAATCTGGTGCGATGGAAAAAATTGGGTGTCTGGGATTAGCAGATATGCATCAGTCATTTGGCTTTTGTTCTTTTACAGGTCTTGCTAGTCCAAAGATCAGCCCAAAGACCAACCGTGGGGTGTTATGTGGCAATGGCCTCCATGATCTCATGGCACAGACATTGGCAGAAGCCGTAGAACACGCAAAGGACCAGGGTGGAGGGCACCAGGCTGACCAAGATCACTCCCATCGTGAGCTGCTGGATCATCAGTAAGTAGATCCCCAGTGGCAGCGAGCTGAAGTAGACCAGGCAGAGGAAACCCATCAAAAAGCGAGAAACCGAACGAGACGTCCACGCCCGGCACTTCTGCACGGGCAGGTGGCAAGGCAAGGAGTCCAGGCTGGCCGGCCGATACAAGCGCACCATGTTCAACATGCTCATAGAGTCAGAGGACTGCGACTCTCCAGGGACTTCCATGATTGTGATGACGAGGCAATCGGAGGAGCTGTGGGCCTGCTCGCCTCCGCTCAGGCTGTTGGGTGTCAAAAGGACCTCACCGCTGGATGTGGTGCCGCTCTTACGTGCCCGGTCCTGGTAAGTCAGAATGGCCAGTATGTTGCTGTCATCTTGAAGCAACCAGATCTCCTCATCGGGGACGTGAGTCTCATGGCGACAGAAGGGGCAGCTGATGATGCTCGGAGACGAGTCCAGCTCTACCATCTTCTTGAGGCATTTGGCACAGACGCGGTGCAAGCAGCTCAACACCTTGGGCTTGCGGGCTCGGGTGTCAAAGCGATTGTAGCAGATCTTGCACTCCAGTTCCTCCACCGTATAAATCACTGGTGCCTGGGAGCCCTCAGTCTCCGAGTCAGACTTCTGGCTCATCCTGAGAGATGGAGTGCAGCCACAGCCGAGAGGACTGGAAGAGCCAGGAAGCAGGTGCAAATGTTCAAATTAAGCAAATTTTAGTATGCTATAGGAGCAGCACCTGAGCACCGTCCTTGGTAGCCCTTGTTTTTCTGCTTTGTGTTTGTTTTTCACCAAAAAGGACTGCTTAAATTAATCTTTTCAAGAGCTTGCAGCACATAATGCTGATTAGAAGTCCACGGAAGCAAAACTGAGTCCTGACGGAAAGCTTAACATGTCCATGATATGACACCCTAATGTATTTATGACAAGCAGACAATGCTAAAATACAACAATATGCAAATTCAGTGCATGCTAAATGAGGATCTCCCTTCACTGTCCGCACTCAGTTCCAGAACTTACTTGGGTTTTTCCAGCATGGTTTAGAGAAAGACAAAACCGAAGAGACAAAGAAATCAAGTCAGTTGACACCAGAGAGGTCCAAAAATATTCCATAGCAGGACTGTCAAGCGTCTGCCGGTTCCTTTGAAATCAGAGTCTGGACACAGAGCGTGTTTTTGCCTTGTTATCCATAACTGATTCTGGAATGAGGTGGAAGAATCACAGATTCAGATAAAGTCAGCAGAATCATCCTGAATACTGTCAGATATTTTCTTCTTCTAGTAATGGCTACACTTGATCATGACCTTCAACTATGAATGCTTATATTGTCCTCGGAGTTCTTGAAGCTCTTTGTTCATTCTGCAAAAACTGAGAGAAGAGACAGAGGTGTTATCTAGATAAGAATGTAATTGTTTGCAAAATGTCAACACTTTGCAGCAGATCTGAAGAACGCAAGAGGGAATAGCTTGATATCTACACTTACCTTTTGTGAGTAAAACCCTTCTAGTGTCATTGAGCCAGCAGCGCTAAAAACCCTTTGCATGATTCATCAAGCCCTTCCTATCAGGTGTATAAATGTCATCATAGGGGTGGGCGTGTGTGATAGAAAGCATGCACACCGCCCGCCAAAAACAGTTGTAGTTGTTCCTCCCAATATTCAAGTTAGTGGCTGATTGTTGATTTTTTTTATGTCAAATTCTTAAACGTTTAAACCCAGTATTTGGTTACATCCTTGTATATGGCAAAAATGTGTTTCATTGATTACTTGGCTAAAATAGTGGCTAAAAGAGATCCTCAGATGTGCTAGCCATAGGTGTGGCAAGCCATTCAAGCGAAGGCCAACAGAGGCCATAAAAAGTTGATTACAAATGTAATTAGCTCCTGTTTTCCGATTCCCTGTGGACGTGACTCACTCCGATCTGACAGACAGGCAAACAAGTGATGCAAGTGGATGTTAACAAGAGAGAGGCAAACATGCAAATTTAATTTCCCACTATGAAACATTTCATTGTTTTTCCTGATCTCTCTTTCCATGTCTCAAAGCGCAGGTTGTTCGAATTTGAAGCCGGTCTATAAATAGCATGCATGCGGCGCTAGAGGATACCGCCTCCCCCCCCCCCAACCTTGATGACTGTGATACGGACTGTTACACACTCACACACACACACACACACATGACCAACAGTCGAGGACGCAGTGATGCCCTGAAATTATGACTTTGACATTGTATGGCAGCTTGTCTCTAAGGGGTCCTCAGCTAGGTCATGTAAATGGCAGCAGACAGTCTGTTGAATAAAAGCCAGTGGGTCAAGCATGGCATCCACATGAAGCGAGAGATGCGAAGGTTAAAAGAACGCAACTGTCATGCGGAATTTATTTGCCATTAAAACGACAGCGAGTCAATACATGCTAAGGGCGCATCTACATTTAGCTGAGTAATCAATGCAGTTGCAGTGGAATATATTAACTGCGTTATACTTGGCTGCAGACATGGTTGCAGTTTTCAGTGCCTTGTAACTAAAGATCTTTATTCAGATTAAGAATGTGCTATTTTTAAATGCAATTTGTGTGATGCTGAAATTCAGGGGCTAGATCTGAATTTATCATCATGTTAGCTTTAAAAAAAGAATTGGCAAGAAAATTGAGCATGCGTAGCCCGGAGTGGTCCTAACATAGGTTTAATTGTCTTTATCCAAAATGTAATTTCTTATTTTAGGTAAAATGAAGATGTTTTGTGAGATTCACCCGAAAACTCTCAATCCTGAGGTCTGTAATGAAAAATAAATAAATAATTATAAATAAATTTCTGTTTACTTAAATCTTTGTCTGTTCAGGATGTCTAAAGTGTTCTGTTTCTAAAATAATTGAAATTGAATAGTGATGATGATGAAGTGTTAGTTGGTGTTTGTATAGTCTTCTTGCTTTGGTGACCTGTAGTGCCAGTAACCACAAGGGACGATTGCGTCTGTGTGTAGGCTATGTGTTTGTGTGAGAAGCGGAAATAAAGATGCAAGGGGCGTTCACAGGAAAACACCATCTGTGTCGGGTGCTGTGGGTTACATAAATAATACCAGTTCACCTGCCTGCTCCAATGTTTACGTCAGCCTTCTGAGCAGCATGCAGACCTTCTGAAATGCTTCTTACTTTCAGTGTTAGTTTGAACATATAAACCTTTATTTTTAGCTAATTTAATTAAGCATGCTTTCTGGGATATATATAACAACTTCATGTTAAGTTTAAATGGGATAAAAAAAAAAAGAAGAAGCTCAGAATTTAGACCCTAGATGCATAAGTTAAGGATCACTGATCAGTCATTTGTCATACTAGTGGTTCCAGGCTGACAACCGATGTTTACAAACCACAGTACAGTTAGATATGCTGATAAAGCCTGTTTTAAAACTAATAAAAATAAATAACTACTTATGGCCTAAAATTAACAAGAGTACACCCATTGGTTTCCTTTTAGATGCATTAAAATTTGCAACAAGCATGACTGTTAATGTAACCTTTAGATAACGGACCACCCTCATGCCCACCAAAGTTCTCCTGGGATGTTCCTACTTGCATGTTATGATGTGGTGTGCGTTCAAGTGAGTTTGGTCAGAATAAAATTAATGTGACATGTTTCTTTCTCTCTTTTTCAGTTCCTAGACAGGAAGCTTTATTGCACTAGTGCCACGAAATGCACATTAGATGTGTAATTGATGCTTGCGAATTACAGGAGGGTATCCGGACAGAAACTAAATTCTGCAGGAAAGGACAGATCTCAATGCGAAAGGCCATTCAAAACTGACAGGATGAGGAAAATCATCAATACAAAAAAAGCAGCAATATTTACTAGCAGTAGCAGAATTACAATCCAAATAGCATTTACAACCTATTGTTTTTCTGTAATGTAATGCATTTCCAACTATAACTCGTATTCAATTAGTTAAAAATTGACTTTTATCCATTTTATCCATCAGGAACCCTCCTGAAAAGCCACTGGCACACATTTGAGCAAGCTTTTTGACTGGGACATGGAAGCTAAAGGTCAAATTCATTCTCAAGAGCATCTCTTCATATATCACTGGTAACAATTCTTCA